TATTACCAGAGACTAGTGCTGTATTGGAGGGTATACGCGGATATGCGTCGTATGTTTACCAGTAGTATTTATTTAGCGTATATAGAAATGACAATCTGCTAAATACGCAAATATACGGTCGCATACGTAACTTTAAAACATTACTGAAAATCTTGTACTGATAATGGCATTTTATTCTTTGTGTCGATTACTTTAGAGTTTAGAACGTCATTTTACTGTTATGGCAACTTCTGGGCTTTGAAAATCGTAATGAGACCACAAGAGTTTCCAGGCAGTTTCTAGCAAATGACACTAGATCTAAATAAATTACTCCTTGTATGTTCGTGTTCGCAGGTAGTGCACGCGAATTCCGTTGGGAAATTTAAATTACATATAGTATTCTTCATTTAGTTGTTTGTTGTTGTACCTACAGACGTAAAGAAACCGTTTTGTAAAAAAATACCAAAATTTCAGGATTTTTAATCCCTCGCAGCCCCCTACTGCCTGTGACTTACCTACACATGAAGTTTATTGACCTACACTTCGATAATTATTCCCGAATTGGAATCGCAAGTGTTAACGAACCGTTTGGACAACCTTAGTGTGGTGTCACACTATGCGTTTTTACCGCTCCTGCTAAAACGGATGCGGTTTGACAGGACGACATCTACTTGTTATAGTATTGCGGTCTAACGGAATGCGTTACCTATTTTTAATATTTAGAGTTTAAACTTAGGTGGTATTATCATCCCGTCAAACACGAGCCTTTTAGCAGCGGCAGTAAAAACGCACTTACTCGCGTAAATTGCTTTGAAATCTCTGATTTTACTTATAAATACATACTATACCCGTGTCGTTGCTGAAGGATACACTTATCGAAACCCGATTTACCTACGATTACTTTTGTGTGACTCTAAGAATTCATTTGTATTAGTTTAACTACTATTCTTTCATATCTTTTATATTAATTATGTATATATTTATTAATATATATATACAGGGTGGTGCCTAGCGCAACGCAGCATAGGGATTTCAATGGTAAATTCTTTATAGTTAATTACTAGCTCCCCTAATTATTTTAGAGCAAAAGTCTAAATAAGTTTTTTTTAGAGAAAAAAATACTGCATCTGTTCATACTTTTAGTTATAATTTTCCATTTTTCAAAACCGTAGAAATCGACAAAATAAAAAATTGCATTTTTATAAATCAGTGATGCTTTGGAATCTTTTAACAAACTACAAGCGCATCGCATCTAAGTTATCGTTGTTTGACGTCGAACGATTTTCATATTTAATTCTGTTTCAACTATTCGATGCAAGAAAAAGCGGCAATTGGGTAATGTTTTTTTAGAGAATGTATGCTGCATCTGCATCCGATACTATTTGTTTATCAGAGAGAATCAGAGTACCTACATAACCGAAGAAAAAAAACTGATTTGAAGCAGTATTGTTCCTAAACTTATATTCGGATTTTCCGCTACTGCAGCCAAAACGTTGAATGTAAATTGTCGTTGTCGTTTTCCTGATGGTTTTGACGGACATTTTGAACGTTATTGCACTTACAGTTCTTTAACTAATTTATAAACAAGTATAAATTTAATATACGTCAAAGGCAAATAATGAAACGTGATCGCTGTTTTTTTAGGTAATTCCAAGGCATATTTGATTTATTGTAAAATGAAACTTTTTATTTTGTCGATTTCTACGGTTTTGAAAAACGGAAAATTATGAGTAATAGCATGAACAGATTCAGTATTTTTTTCTCTAAAAAAAACTTATTTAGACTTTTGCTGTAAAATAATTAGGGGAGCTAGTAATTGACTATAAAGAAATTACCATTGAAATCCCTATGCTGCGTCGCGCTAGGCACCACCCGGTATATATATTTAATTAATTGTTTTTTTCTGAAGAATCGGCTCATACCGGGAGATCAAAAATGAGTTACTGTCGAATCGCCTTTGGAAGTTCAAGTTATATACGAATTCCCATTTAAACAAAAATTCCAAAGGTGACTCGACAGCAACTCTTATTTGATCGCATTGTATTATCTTGTTATGTTTTGAATTGCTTGGACCAATAAATTTATAGTTATTTGTGCATTGTCAAGTACTTTTCTTGAATTTTATGTCACGTTTATGCTTGTATACCCCGACGATTGCAAGGATAATCCGTGGTTGATCAATATTTTGCTTTCGCTAGTGTAAAGTCATTCGAATTATTGATTCTTATTGAATATTAATTACAGTTTTTATATCCGATTGCCTCCGTGTCTGACGTTAGCATTGCTTACGCAATATTTTATGTGCCGCGCTATTCACTACCCCTTTTATTTGTTTGTTTGTGTTGTTGCCTGTTAAAGTGCGAGCCGAACCGTTCGCGAACTGCACAAAAATTGTTCTTTGAAACGATCCATGGAAAAGCCGAACCAGCCCCAAACCACCAGCAGTAATCGGTCTGAGTACTCCACTCCATATTTAAAGCTCGCGACCGGAAGAAAAACAACGAACTTCACACAAACATGTTCCAATATGAACTGCGAATCCCTTTGTGTTCGTCAAAAAAACCAGACAGGAAACGGTTCGCCACGAACCGCTCAGGAACGATTCACGAGCGCTTACAAATTCCGTCCTAATTTAACGAATCAGTTGTTCACGAGCGGTTCATGAACGGTTCGGATCACATATGTATACGCACCTTTACAGATTAGCAGAAGGTGTCCTTCTTGAGCTCAACACGGCGCTTGCTGTTGTAATTTTTTTAATGTATATTTTTTATTGTCGACTCCTTGATTACATACTGGTATTCGATCAATCGAATTGTAATTATTACATTTGCTTGATATTCACTTAACTTATAGCTCAGTTGTTTTCTGCGGAAGCCTATTTTGATATACCGTTATAGCACCATTGTTTCATCGACGTCAGCTGCTGGATCCGCCGCAGAATTCGCAGAAAAAAAAGGAAAAATATGGTAATCTACTAGACCGTTTTATTTTCTACCCTTTCGGTATTGAAACACTTGGCGCTTGGGGTCCATCTGCAAACAAAATTGCTTCAGAAATTTGTAAAAAGATTTTTGAAAAAACTCAAGAAAAACGTTGTTTTCAATTTTTAAAACAAAGATTCAGTTTAGCTGTTCAGCAGGGAAATGCGGTTTGTATTTTAGGCACTCTACCGCCACGGACAGCATTTAATGGAATTTTTTATATTTTGAGTATACGGTAAATTTTTTTAAAATGTTTTTAAACAATTTTATTTGGAATATGTTAATGTTGTAACCTTTTGTTAAAAAAAGTTTTGAATTGAAATTAAAGATTAGAGATGTAGTGAAAAAATATTTTCTCTGATTGCGTGTTGGTTCCTTTTTACTAAAAGTCAATTTAAATTCAAACATTGATTACAGTGACCTATTTGTAATATTTTTGAGATCATTGATTAAAATTACCCTCGATTGTGACGTCAATTATTGTTTATGTTCTATCCCTATCAAGTATTTTATTTCAGATTATCAAGACCAGAACTAGGATCTCTTACCCTATCTTGTTTCCCCTTTTGGTAAGTATTCTATCCTCTCTTTTGAAAGTGACTAAAGACTAAGTGGCGCCTATCCGGTTTACTATTACTACATTTCCCATTTCCTTATTTTTGCTAGTGAACAAGAACCCTAATAATAACGCCACCGCCGCAGCGTTCCATTTTTTTTTCATTTATATTATTCTTGTTCATTAATTATTTTCGCTGCGCGTTCGTACCTCCAGATTCAGTATGGGGTCTTATGGACTAATTGCCTCTCTTGCTAGTTTGCGTCACTCTTCGATAATACTATCCTTGTTTCTAACCGTATTGATGTCAAATTGACATATGATTAAATGGAAGTATTAAAACAAAACATAATCTCCTTGTGCTGTCATTGTCACATTTGGCAAGCATGTACTGTATGTCCATAAGCACCATACTGAATTTGGAGGTGCGAACGCGCTATAGTTTCTGGGCGCTGGTAAACGTGAGAATCAGAAATTTCTACAAAGAGTTGCCTCAGTATTTCTTGTTTGAGAGAATTAAGTAGTAGGTGACTCACCGGTTTCGTCACTTTAGGCAAGGCAAATTTTAATGGTGGTTGTAGTTGTATGTTCTTTCTTCTTCTTATTGGCAACCTGAGTTCTCTTATTTCTAAAGTGAAATATTTTTGTCCGATACGCTGCATCCCTGTTTATCACACATCGAGATGTTGACGCAAGATGGTGCATTGGCTCTTCTTCCTTTTAGTCAGGGAGACATTTCTGAAAAAGGCTCCAAAAATTTCCTCTTCCGGGATTGCTTCTCACTGCTTACCCGAACCCGTTGTGAACTTCTTATTGAATTGACAAGAAAATACATTTCTTTCCGCAAACAATACAAATCGAAAACTTGTCTAAGTTTAGCGGGCAGCTGACGTCACAACGCCATAGTCTAGTTCTGAGGTACTAGCCTAATTCAAATCACGAAACGATTTGCACTATAGCTCTTGGAGCTGTTGAATTACTGCACCTGCAAACCATTACGCTTACAAATTCCAAATCTTACCTCTGATGACGGTAACCAAATGTTTTTAAATTAATAACACTTTCTTTATCGCGACAAAATTATTCGCATTTACAAAGATAAACTTTTTCGATGTATTACCTACACAGTTTCCATTCAGTATTGAAAAAAAATTAATTTAATCATAATGTACTTACATTTAAATCAAATTACACATCCCTTTCACTAACCCACCTTATCAAATTACGTAATTGAAAAAGGCAATTATGAATAATCTTTCTGTCGCACTTGCAAATTGTAACAATAACTATTTGTATTGACTGGTAGGTACACTAAATTGGCATCATCATTTACCTTTTGGGAGTAGGTACAATTCGAATTCTCCATTGCAAAAAAATGCATTAAATTTTGCGTAGGACAATATAAAAGCGGGATTATTCTTTAAAGCACTAGATTTTTATCGTACTTAAAACAACCAGCGACACGGTTTTCTACTACTGCCCACATTAATCAAAAGGGACATGTCAATGGAATAAAAGTGGAAATCTCTCATATAAAGCTTAAAAAAGGTGCCTTATTAAAGTTATTTGCAGTGGTAGCTAAGGACTCCCTTTCTCGTAACCGTAGACAAACCTATAGTTCGCCTTCTAAGTGCGTCTAATTAGGATAATTTCAAATTAAAAAAATAAATTAGACACCACGCATGCCCGCCCCTATTGCTTCATGTAACTGAGGGGCAACTTCGTTCTGACTCCAGAGGACCCGGACCAAAGTATTGTCATCATCCGCAAGAGTTCGAATGGGGCAGAGCGACTCTAGTTTTGCCCTCATCTATACGCTTTGGCGATAAATGAAGACATGCAGCTTACACCTTCGGTCTTCTACATCATCAATCAAGGCAAGTAATTTTTTTTTACATTTTAGAGCAATAATTACGATTGATTAGTACCTTCACTTATCGCGCTAAATGAGATTTTAATGATAATAAAATAGAGCCCCTAAAATTGGCATTATTCAACTAAATTGTCGCCGCTTGTATCCGGCTATTAAAAAAACTACGCGCTTTGTGAAAATGAGTGGAAAAGTGTTGGCGTTCCGAAAGAGTACAATTTTTATCTCCACTTGAATTTCGCATTATTAATCACAATTCTCAATTAAAGCCAGTGTATTTAAATCTCGATAAGCGTTATGAATTTTAATAGGTAAAGTTAGTATAAGTTTTCGGAAGTCTACTTTTTTTTACAAACAATGCTTTGAATGATAGGTAATCAATTTGATGGGAAACAATTAATGATGTTTGTATATAGGGCGTTATAATTTCAAGTATACTTAATATTGAAGCATTACCACTGATAGAGACACCTGTCAGAAGTGAGATTGACGCACTACGCGTTCAACAAGGAATACTTGACAATATTTCGATAATTCTCCAATGGCTTTTAGGTCTTTTAAAAATTTATATAGGGGGTTTTATTTGATTTGTTATTATTGTAGGTCCCTCATGGGTTAAGCATTGTCAAATTATTGCGTTCTCTTTACGTACTTTTTCGAACGGAAAATGTGCGCACGAAAGATATTTCTTAGATTTTCATTGTATAACGTCCCCAAAATGAAAATTATATTAAATGAATGTGATCGATCCGTTATTCGCAAATTGTATTTTTCAATTTGCGGCGCGAAAGGTGGGAAAGACTTGTAAATTTGCACGTCAATCTCCTTTACATTGTTCGTAAACACCCAGTTCTTGACTTTTAATGTCATCAACTGCTCTTCCGCGGCGCCAAAATGAGATAGAGATGTAGGGGAAGGGGTGCGATCAAACGGCAGTAAAGGTACGAGTACATTATCTTAGTTAAATGGATTTCGAGATTGCGAACTGTCTTCATAATGGCGTGGTGTGAAATGAAAAAACCAGGTAACATCGAAACAAGCAAAGAGGGGTTCAGCCCAAATCAGATCTTGTAACAGTAGATATATCAAGTCAGTGTTGAAAAAACGATTCTGTTTCCTTTAATGCATAATGCTGGTTTAATAAAACTAGAAGCAACCTAAATTATGTTACGGTTTTGATAAGGCTTCCTTAGAAGCGATAAGTTTACACATATCTATCTAAAATGGGATTAACGAATAAAACGTGGAGTAGACTAGATGATTTAGAAATGGCCATACTTAGCAAGAACGAAGTCCTAGGACATCCACTTTCATATTTTTTTAATTTTGTGGTAGGTACAACTTATATAGAAATTTTAGAGTTTATCTTGTAACTCTATAGGTTTTGGGTGTAAACATTTAAAGGAGTGCTGAATATGGCCTTGTAGTAGGTGTGTACGTCCCGATTTACGGATATCGAGACAAAATTTTTTAAGTCTTGGGGGGAGGGATCTTTACATATAAACATTTAAAGGCCGTCTTAGCGTAGGCGGTACAACTGAATATCGAGGTAAACGCTGCACTTTGTGACAAAAGCAAGAAATTCGGTACATATGTTTATTAGGTTCAAATAAAACTTTTGGCCCGCAGCACCCACCGAAATTTTCGTGTGGGTTCAAAATTTGAACACTTTTGTTCAAAAGGGTGTTCAAGGTTTTAACCTGTAATAATTGACGATTTTCGGTGTTCTAGAGGTCGTTTCTGAATGATTTAGGGTCTCGTGTACCAATGGAGGCATTAAAAAAGTTGTATATCTGACCCTTAGGCCCCAAATTTGGATTATTTTTAAAATAATGGTCAAATTTTGAATTTGATAGTTTTAACCCTGCGTGATGTTTCGGATGTCGATTCCAGCTAATTTGGACGTGCACTACACGCTAGGAATGTTATATTGAAGTTAAAACAGTTTCTGGTGTGTAAATAGGCCGTTAATCGTCCATAAATTTGTTCAAAATTTGGAAATTCCATACTTGAAGGATTTTGCCGTTCTTGGTGTCGTTTCCATATAATTTGTGGTTTCTGATGCTGATTTTGTATTCAGAAAACAGATGCGACTCGTAGTTAGGCCCTTTTCAAACTATTTTACCTATTAAGAGGGAATGTTCGGCGCAGTCATACCCTTGTTATTCCGGATTGCAACAACTATTGAATGACAAAGAAAGACGAAAGAGACGGGCATTTCATTAAGATTCGGAAGTGGGCATGTTCTTTGACGGGGTATGTCGCCTATGCTTCCATTATTGCCCTCCCGTCATCGCTTGTTGGGAAATCTGTACTTCCATCAGTCAGTCTTGAGCTCACTCCACGACACGTAACATCTCTCAGCGAGCTAGTTCCGTCCGACTCGTACTCCTTGAAACAAGAGTGTCGCCAGCTGATGGTCCAGAGAGGGGCAAGTTGACATATGAAGGATAAAAAAATTATTAATTGTAGGTATAGTGCAGAGCACATAAAATTTTACTTTTGTACCTACTGTCTTACATCTACAACCACAATAATTGTAATAAGGAATTATCGGTCAAGAAAACCAGGGCACTTTGGTTTTTGGACTGGTTGCTTTGCATTTTGATACTTTTTTTAATCTCTAGACGGGGGCAACTGTCCTCGATCGCGACGCACGGCCTGGGGGTGCCCCGAAGTCGCCGAGGCAGCCCCCAAAGTACATCAGACTGCTAGATGTTACTTGTCGTGGAGTGAGCTCAAGACTGATTGGAAGTACACATTTCCCAACAAGGATGACGGGAGGGAAATAATGGAAGTATAAGCGGCATACCCTGGCAAAGAACATGCCCACTTCCGAATCTTAATGAAATGCCCGTCTCTTTCGTCTTTCTTTGTCATTCAATAGTTGTTGCAATCCGGGGCAACAAGGGTATGACTGCGCCGAACATTCCCTCTTAATAGGTAAAATAGTTCGAAAAGGGCCTAACTATGAGTCGCATCTGTTTTCTGAATACAAAATCAGCATCAGCAACCACAAATTATATGGAAACGACACCAAGAACGGCAAAATCCTTCAAGTTTGGAATTTCCAGATTTTGAACAAATTATTGAACGATTAACGGTCTATTTACACACCAAAAACTGTTTTAACTTCAATATAACATTTCTAGTGTGTAGTGCACGTCCAAATTAGCTGGAATCGACATCCGAAACATCACGCAGGGTTAAAACTATCAAATACAAATTTAACCATTATTTTGAAAATAATCCAAATTTGGGGCCTAAGGGTCAGATATGCAACTTTTTTAATGCCGCCATTGGCACCAGCGAACCTAAATCATTCAAAAACGACCCCTAGAATGCCGAAATTCGTCAATTTTTACAGGTTTAAAACCTTGAACACCCTTTTGAACAAAAGTGTTCAAATTTTGAACCCACACGAAAATTTCGGTGGGTGCTTCGGGTCAACAGTTTTATTTGGACCTAATGAACACGTGTACCGAGTTTCATGCTTTTGTCACAAAATGCAGCGAAAAAATTTGTACCGCCTACGCTATCTGTAGGGAATGCAATACCGGGATCGCGGGATCCCGAAATACCGAGATCCCGCAGCATTTTTGCGGGATTACTCCCGCACATAAATGGAGCGGGATACCACGGGATTTGCGGGACCGAGGAATTTGCCGACCAAGGGGACGACTCTGTTTGCTAATGAAACGCATAACGGAGAAGTTATTTCTAAAATAATTGTTAAAAATGTGCTATGATTTTTGAGGCACTTTAGAAGTTTACCTTTTTTGTGCTTTGCAGGTGAGGTTTTTTTGAGTTCTATGTTAGGCTGAAGGTAATTTTTTGTTGAATATTGTGATAATTAGTGATTTATTTATTGTAGTACAGAAGTTAACTGCACAAAATTGCTTATTTGCCAATTTATTTAAAATTTTGCAGGATCCTGCAAATACCGGGATCCCGCGGGATTAACATCTAACGATCCCGCAGATACCGCGATTCAGATTTTGCTGCCGGATTGCATTCCCTAGCCGTCTGGTATGCGAGTACATTCAAAATCTACGCTATATAATGCGACAAAAATCAAGCCCCTAGAGCAATTCTTCAAAATATTATTTTCCCTTTTTGTAGGTACTTTCCTACAACATTTTCGAAATATTCACAATTAGGTTTTCACATCGCCAGTAGATGTGTATCGTCTAGACGATCTTTTCCCTCCCCGACACTCCGTTCTGCAGGTATTTGCACTGTAAGTTCTGACATTGCTAATAGGTGAGTATCATCCCTCTCATACCCTCTCTTGATAAGGGGTAAGAAAGAAGGACGGTAGTTGGTACAAAACAATTCTTTTTGTTTGTCGATGAAACCTTTCATTATATATGAAAGCTGTAACTTGTGTTTACCGCCCGTTCCCCTTCCATTTTCAAAGCTTGTACTTGGCACTACTAAAGGCATGCGTATGTAACATCTGAGACTAATTGGATTTGAATTCATAAAATTAGGTGCCTTTCAGAAGAGATTTTGTCTTTTAAAATTAAAAGTAGACATAGGGAAACAATACACATAAATCCCTATGTCTACTTCTAAATACGTAAATATCACTGTGTAATAAGTTCAAATTGTGCACATCGCTGGTGCAGATAAAGCGCATTTTTTAAAACAGAAATACCTTAGTAAATGGCTGCGTTATAACGTAGCAGCATGCTATGTTTTTCGAGATATTCGCTCGTACAGTTTTGACATCACCAATAGATGTATTTTTCCAAACGTCCCAATCGTCCATCGTGAGTCCCATCTTCCGACAATCCGTTCTTGAGATATAAGGAATCTTTTATTTCCGATCAGGACCAGGAAAGTTATAGTTTGTACATACCAATTCATTTCGGTGAGGTCTTTCATTAGAATACTATGAAAGGCAGAACGTGTTTTCACGCTCGCCCCCCCTCCATTTTTAAAAATTTTACTTGGCACCACTAAAGGCATGGGTTTGCACATGCTGAGACCAGGTGGTTGTCG